CCGAATCCTCTACTATTACTCAGCTTGCTTGCCCGCTGCTTCAATTCCAGGTGATGGGAAAATGAAAGTAATGAAGGGGACTTATAGGTCTACTAGTGCTTTACCGTAATATATAATATTATTATAAGATAGTGCATTCTCCACTACAATTCCATTAACATTCTAGCCGTCTGATCTCCATCCAGCCCATGCTTGTCAAGATTAGTGGAGACTACAGTAACAATTAATAAATTTTTATCAATTAATTGTTATTCATTAACTATAATATTAACTATAATACTAAACAGTTATTTAAAAGATACCTATTCATAGACATTTAAGATATATTGATACCAAAATTACTCGAAATTCAATATCAAATTTGATGAAAATATTTTTGATACTTTCTATATGTGAGAGAATGTAGGGGAAATTTGTATGTTTACCTTTTTGGACAAAAATTTTGGGTATTATAACGATGTTCTCTGGATTCTCACTTTGAACTGTTCGTCCAGACGAAATGTACCATTCGTCCCTGGACGAAGTTCTATGGACACTTGAGTTACACTGATCGTCCAGACGATTCAGTCCGTTCGTCCCAGGATGAAATCCTCTGGACACAGGTTAAACTAATCGTCGAGACGATTCATCCCGCTCGTCTCTGGACGAAGTTTTCTGGACACATGACTTGAACTATTCGTCTTGACAAACATTCATATTCGTCCCAGGACGAAGTCCTCTGTTCCCTGAAAATTTGGGACCGTCGTGCAGTTTCGTTAGAACGAACCCTTGATATAACTGTTCGTCTCAGGACGAACTTATTTCGTACTGGACGATGATAGGGTACGAAGTCAGTTCGTACCAATATTCATTGGGTTCGTATGCAACTATTTTAACACTATTCGTATGAGACGATCTGACGATCTTCTAGGACGATTGATTGTGTACAGACTTGAAAGTCAGTAGTTTTTGGACGGTTTTTCGTGTCTTTCTTATATTAAGTCCACTTAAAACTGTCTTGTAATCTTTTTTGCCTACTAATCTTTGTGTTAACTGAAGGGAGAGTGAAGGAGAGAGTGTGAGAGTGTTTAAAGGAGAATTCTTACTACTTGAGCGTGAAGGATTCACTTGGAATTCAAAGGTAAGAATCTCCAATTGTGATTTGTGATTACTTCACTCTTTTCTCTCGTCCTTTTAGATTTCTTGTGAGAAGATCGTTCAAGGAGATCCGGTTCTCTGCCGACACTTGGAGAGTGTGAATAGCCGAAGGTGGTCCAACCGGACCGCCCGCCCCTCTCCCCTCCGCCTGTAGACCCGCACGGGTCCAGGCCGGACTGGTTCAGGGTGAACCGGTCCATCACACCTGCCCCTGTCTTCTAGCCATCACATCCGTTTTATGGATTGAGTGATTTGATCGCTTAGAGCTGAGATTGAAGACATATTCGAGAGTTTACAGCACGATGGGAGCAGATGCAGCGGTAATATGAGGCAGACTGTGCATGGTTCATGGATAACTTTGCTTCCTTGCACCACTACTTCTAGCCTTCACCAACACTGCCACCATTGGATTGGGGTCCATTTGATGAGTAGTTTGCCTTTGTTTTGTGTTCTCTTTGTGCTTTAGTTTTTTATCCCTTTAGCACTATTAAGTTTCCTTTGTCTGCTGTACTTTTTAGGGTCCATTTGATGAGTAGTTTGCCTTTATTTTGTGTTGTCTCTTTGTGCTTTAGTTTTTTGTCCCTTTAGCACTATTAAATTTCCTTTGTCTGCTGTACTTTTTTGTCTCCGTTTTTGTGATGGAAAAAGATGAAGTAGAATTTGTTAGTTGTATTGATTTTTTATTAGTGTTTCTTTTTGCCCAGTGTTTATCTTGTTGCATTTATCTTATATTAAAAAAATATATTTAAAAAAATAATGTTTTAAATATTTTAAAAAAATTTCTCAATTATTTTAAAACAAGTCATTTAGTGAGAGGGAGAAAACAAGTAGGAAACTGTTTATCAAAATTGTAAATTTAAATTCCAACTAATAATATGTATCATCATGAAAAATGGGGAAATTGTTGTAATCCGAGAGCTGACCAATTGCTTTGATGATTACAAACATTGTTGCTTTAATTATTCACTTATTTCTTTTTTATAATTTGCATATTTTTTTGTGTCACTAATCTTTCCAGGGACAACATACATCGATACAAGTCAAGAGAAATCAAACTCAAGAGAATGTAGTTAGTTTATTATAATGAAGTTTGTAAAGTCAAAATTAGTTTGTAATAATCATGTATTTTTTTATTTTTCTTGAGCCTTTTTCTGTATTAGGTGTATATTGGCTATACACTCATAGAGGATATCAAAATTGAATATTTGAATTTTTCTCTATAATTTTATTGTACAATTTTCTTAAAACATAAATTAATTCAAATAATTAATTAAATCAAATTTAGTAAATTGGACTACTTATAATAATATTGTACGACCTTAAATCTTATAAGACAATTAGCAATTTTGATAAAACTTCACTGTCGAATCTATGTTGCCTAAATTAGTCAAATTTGAATTGATTGCGATGTATGAACAAATTTCAATCTGTACAAACATTAAGTAATATTGCCAAATTTAATCCCATAGAATAACTCATTATTTATGATCATCATATATGATCAATTTCGTATAGGACGATCTAACAGAGTTTAGTAGATGAACTTAGTTTGTCCTAGACGATCTATGATTCAATATAATTAATCGTATTGGACGACTATGCATCATACATGATAAGCAGTGACGGAATTGAACTAATCATGTTGGACGACCAGAGACTGAAAATTGGAAAATAGGGTGCACTTTTCTCTGATTTGATTTTCAAGTAAAAGAAAATTTTTTAAAATACTAATTCCCCCCCAGTCTTAGTGCGCCATAGCACTTTCAGGAAGAGCTTATACCAATTGTGAGACTGGTTGTAGATTCATTATTTGTTGAATCTGGTGAGGCGGTGGTGATGGGTTTCGAACAAAATCTGAAAGACAGGTGAAGATTAGGCTTTGACGATGAATTGAAGGTGTTAGATTCTGTATGGTTTTGTAGATCCAAGGAGAGAAAACGAGTAAGATGTTGGCAGCAGATTTGAAGATGGTGTTTAAGATTTGCATTTTTAATGTTCGCTAGATCTACAAGTTGTGTTCGTGGATTGGAATATGCAGATTGTTAGCTTTGGTTCATGGACAATTCAAGGCGATGTGAGAAATAGAGATGAAAATAGGGGCAGAGGTGAACACTAATTGTTACAACCCTTGAGGATCACAGTGATAAATGATGACATTGAGCTCGCTAGTAACTCCAGAAATTGCAATATTTCGAGAAGTTGGAGGAAGAAGAATATCTCAGACACCAGGATCGTTTGCCTTATTTTGCATAGTCAAATATTCTCCAAAGGGAGGTATATTTAAAGATGCAATGCTTGCCTTAACAAGACACTAAGATTTACCCTTACATTGTTGACATATTATGCAATTGTTACTTCACTTGACCTATTGACCCTATTTACTAGACATGTAACCTATTTATTATCCATTACATGTATTGATCATATCAGTAAACTACATATTTTTTATGCTGATTATTTTATATTTTATTTTACGATTGTATTTTCTACTCTTTTTTGTTACTCTGTTATGAGGTTGAGAGCCAGCTTAAGATATTATAAATTATTACTTCGAAATCCAACGGTCATACTGATCAGTTTACTGGCATCCGAGTTTGCATATTGTTTTATTTTTCAAATCAAATAATTATACATAATTTTTTTTTTTTTAAATTTTCAGATTGGAGGAAAATGAATGAGATGATGTCTGATGATCGGAGTTTTCAGGATTTTGTTGCGCAGATTGTAGTGCATCTGTTTAAAAAATTAAAATGCTTTGACGTTTAGGGTTGTTGTATATGCTGGTGCTAAAAATAATCCATCTGATTTCTGCAGATGTATAAGTTTTTGAGCATTATATGTTGATAATGCAAATCCAGAAGCAGATCATAGATAACGGAAACGGTATGTAAAATTTCCAATATTTTTTAGGATAGCAGATGGATAGAGCATTCGTACACCGCAGCAAATGAAATTCGGAGATTTTGGCTTTTTTTTTTTAATTTACTTCGAGCATAGCTTTACTTTGGAGTTAGTCTGCTAGTCAGCCATGATATAAAATGTTGAAAATAGTTTACTTTGCTAGACCAACTTGCATTTATAGTTCACATTTTAGTTTTTTTTTTCCTGTCATTTAGCATTGAAATGAGATTTTCTTTTTTCATTTTTTTGTTTAATTAAGTCTTTGGAATCTAGAAAAATAGGACTACCTAGGTACTGAAGGCAATTAGTCATAGAATACAATTCCTTAATCAATAAGTTTGAACTTAAAATTCCGTGCAGAATTTTCGGTTTAATTCTTTAATATTGTTTATATTGTAATTTAATTCCTTAAAAAATTAGTTGCGTTTCTAAATGACAGTGGTAAACTTGATTTTTTTTTTCTGATTTTGCTTTGCTTCACTTTGTTTTTGTTAAAATTTATATCCATAAAGATAGAGGTAAATATATTTCATATTTTGGGTCAAAGTTCTGAGTGATTGGTAATATTTTCATGCATGTGAGAGCACATTGTCAGAATAAAATTATTGGGACAAGTTTGTTTATATACTATTTAGCCTTATGTTAAAAATTTTAAATTAGGTGAACTATGTCGATAGAAAAATTATAATCTTGAAATCGCTAAAGTAACAGGAAATAAGTCTTGGCCGATGAAGATGCATATAATAAAACTTCTATGTATTGCACATCTAACATTTAAATTGTTATAAACTATTATATTTAATTAACATTATAATTATTAAATCCTATCAAGGGAATTTAATATTTTTAAGCAAGTATTTGTTGTGAATAAGGGTTTGTTTTTTATAGTTTTTTATAGCTTTGCTTTCAGATTGCAATTAAAATTCTGTTTTGTTTTTTTTTTTCAATTAAAAAAAATTGTACTGGGAAATTTTTTACAACAATTTTCACAAATTTTTTGTACCGGAAAAATTGATTGGATATAAAATGAGAAAATAATGAAAAGCTAGGAGTAGCTTTAGTGGAAGATAAGATTAGAGTCGCCTTAAGATGGTTTGGACATATAAAATGGTGGTGGTCCGGTTAGAAAAGTAGATGTTTTAAATTAGACTTGTGTTAAGAAAGATAGATATAGACTTAAGAAAATTGTGTTAGAAAATATTAGAAATGACCTTTATTTGATAGATTTAAATGAGAAATTGACTCTTAATATGTCACAATGGAGAAAAAAGGATTCATATAATTGATCTCATATAGTATGATAAAGACTTGTTATTATTGTTATTGTAGCTTTAAAAAGTTAATTCTTTATAATAGTTTTATAAAGCTTGAAGATTGTTTTCTCAGACATTATGAAACATAGTTTCAAATTTTAAATATATAACTAGATAAAAAAATTTGTTATGTAAATCCTCATAGGTCTATATATTAGAATTTATTATTGTTTTGAAATTTGGATTGTACTGGTCGGTTCAATTGGGACCGGTTGGCTAGCTGGTTCGAATTTTCTCTAAAATTAGGTTTGCAATGAATTAGCTAAAGTTGATTTGAAATGGTGCTTTGACTATCAAATTGTTGATTCGGTTCCGTTTCTTAGCAATCGGCAGGTTCAATAATTATCTATTTTATATAATTAATTTTTTTTTAAAATAACTGTAATAAATTAAATTAAATTAAAAATAACTTTAAATTTGTAATAATAATATATTTTTTAATAAGATATAACAAAGTTTTTATACATGGCATATCTTCTATGTGATTTTTTTTACTCATTTAGTTGACAAGTTTTTTAAATTTTTAGATAATATTAACCTAAAGTATTAGGTAATGTAAAACTAAAAAATTAAAGTGAATTTTTTATATTAATAGCAAAAAATATGTATTTTTAAACAGAGTTTTTAAATAAATTAATAATTTAAGTAAAATTAGTCTTAAAATTATATTATTTTATAACTATTTCTTCTTTATTTTTTCATTTAATTATTTTTAATAATTACTACATCATTCAGTTCGGTTCCAATTCAACTATGATTGAAACGTTGAACTTTATATCTCTCTCTTTTTAGGTTCTATTTTTTTATTTGATTTTTGCAACCTTGAAATTTATACAAGATTTATATTTTCCAGGTGTTAATTTGCCCTGCATAAATTATAAAATCTGGCACTTCATTAGAAAACTTAGTAGCACTGATTACATGTATGCTTTACAAATAGAATCGCTAGACAAAAGCTAAAACGCAAAATCTTTATAACTCTACTCCTCCTGAGTTAAATGATACTAGTCTTATCCCTAAAGGCAAAATGATTCTTGAAGATGTTATTACTTCATTAGTGAGGCCTGTTACTAACGAGGAGATTCATCTGGCTATTAATTCTGGCTGCTCTAACTTAGCACCTGGTCCTGATGAGTTTAACTTTGATTTTTATAAAAAGACCTGGAGTATTATGGGTCCTTTCGTTTGCAAGGCCATTAAGTTCTTTTTTAGTAAATGCTACTTACCTAACTGTGCTAAAGCTACTACCATAGCTCATGTTCCTAAGAAATCTCATGCTGAAAATGTTCAAGACTTCCGGCCTATTTCTCTTTGTAACGTTTTTCACAAAATTATTGCAAATATTTTGGCTACTCATATCAAAATCATTATGCCTGATATTATTGAGAATAATCAAGCCGCTTTTATTCCTAATAGGATAGCTACTGATAATCCTATCTTGGCTATGGAAATCATCAATCTCTTTAAAAAGCAATATAAGATGAATCGCTTTTGTGCTAAATATGATATCAAGAAAGCCTTTGATACAGTCTCCAAGAACTTTCTCTTTGTTAGAATGGCTGATAAGGGATTACCTACTATCTTTATTAAGTGGATCAAAGAATGTATAAAAGATATACATTTTTCTATATGTTTGGACGGTACACTGGAAGGATTCCTTTCATCTTCTACTGGACTCATACAAGGTTGTCCACTTAGTCCCTACCTTTTTTGTATTATTATGGACGCTCTATCATGTCTTCTTGATTCTAACTCTGACTCCAGTGGTTTTGAGGGTTTTAAAATGAATAACTTTCATCTGTCTCACCTTGCTTATGCTGACGATCTTTTGGTTTTTTGGAAGGCTGATACTAACAATAGTGATAAGCTTTTGAGGAATATTAACATGTTCTCTAAGCTCACTGGACTGCAGATGAACTTACATAAAAGCTCTCTTATTATCTCCCCAAGTGTTTCTTGTCCTAATGATATTTCTAGTGTGCTTCAAATACATAATGTATCAGATAACTTTACTTACTTAGGTATTCCTATATCTTTGGGCCGGACTAAGTTGTCTGATTTTTCCCATCTAATTGGAAAAAATCATAATGCTATTGTCCTGATGGAAGGCGAGGATGCTTTCTTTTTCTGGTAGACTGCAATACATTTAATATACTATTACTAACACTGTGGCTTATTGGATTAGGAGCATGACTCTGCCTAAATCTATTTACAAACAAATAGGTAAGCTGTGCTCTAAATTTCTATACCATGGGGACACTGATTGCAGAAGATTACATCTTATATCTTGGAATAATACTTGTAAACCGTACTCATTGGGTGGACTGAGTATTGCCTCTTTACAAGCATTAAACTTTTCTTTTAACTATGGAATTATTATGAGATGTTACAACACAAACTCTCCTCTTGCTAAGTGGTTCCTTGCTAGATACATCAGTCCTTGGAAACCTGTAACGAATACTGCGTCGGCTTTCTGGAAAAATATTTGTAAAACGGCTGTGATAGCTAGGGAGAAATTCAATTTTATTATTACTCATAACAACCCAATTTCTATTTTCTGGGATCACTGGTGTTTGGGGGAAACTATCTTTGATAGATTTCAAATTATATCCACTAACTTAGCTAAGAACTCTCAGCTAGCTAGCTGGATTCATCATGATGCATGGAATATTCCAGAATTTGATAACCCTTGTATTAGGGATTTTATTCTGAATCTCCCCATTGCTACTGATAGTATGTATCATCTTAGTTGGGACAATTTGGGTAATGCCAACTTTAAAGATTTCTATTTATATTATTTTGCTAACGATGCTCATGTTGACTGGCATCATTTGATATGGCATAAAAAACATGCACTGAGAAACTTTGTTTATTCGTGGATGGCGCTTAAAGGAGGCTTAAAAACTTGTGATGTTTTGGCTATGAGAAACATTCATATTTTGGATAAATTCTCCTCTTTATGTCACAATAGCTTAGAGACTACTTAACATTTGCTGTTTGAATGTGATTACTCTTTTAAGGTGCTTGTAAAACTCATTCCTTCGTTTCAGATGTATTACTTCAGACCAAATATTTTCTTAGCCTTACTCCATATTGATAATATGGATAAGTCTAAAAGCATTAAGAATGGCAGCCTCCTTACTTTAAATGCTGTTATTTATTTCATATGGATGGAGAGGAACAATAGAAGGTTTAATTCTGTTGCTTTATGTACCAATTCTCTAGTTAAGAAAATCTCTAAAGCAATTATTATCAAATTAATGGGTTGGAAGAATGGCACTGAGGTTAAGGAGGCTCTAAATCTGGTTTACTACTGATGTGGTTACATTTTTCATCTTGGACTCGTGATGGGAGGTTTGGTTTCCTGATTGAAACCGTGCTGCAGGTTGTTGGATTGAATGATAAATATTCTCTTGTATGTGAATCGCTACACTGGGATTGCTGGCATCAAATTTTTTATGCCCGTCCCATTTATGACAATGACTCTGATCTGCTCGGCTATCTCAGTGGCTATCTAAAGCTTGATAAGCAAGTTATTTGGCTGTGGACAATGATGACAACCTGCTAACCTCTTTCTGGATGGCCCACAAGCAACCAAAGATGGAAGGATTATTCATTTTTTGAAGCCAAGCTTATTCTGAGTCCCACACAGACTTTTAGTCTGTTCAACTTATCTGTCCTCTGGTTAAAATTTATTTATAATTGTCTGTTGTTACTGTTTTTTTTTTTTTTGATGTAACTGTTTGTAGTTCTTTATT